AAATAGTGTTGAAGATTTCCTTTTTGTAATTTAAGGGGGGGGAATTTGGGTGTATTTTTTTTTCGAAAACGGGGGGGGGGGGGGGGGGTCAGGACTCCCTTAACCCCCCCCCCCCCTCTAAATCTGCCACTGCATAGGGTCCTAAAGAATCCTAGCTTGGTTGTCACTTTAACTGACTTGTGCAACTTTAAAATATCCACACTGGACACTCATTTCCAAAGACATATACACCACTGCATAAATAGGCAGTCATTTATAGTATTTAATGTTGCATAACCATGAAAAGTGCTCAGCCCATTTATATACAGCAGGAGGTGAAACTGAACATAGCCAACATTATTTATCTACTTATCTAAAATCTAAAAATGAAAAAAATCTAAAGATTATTAGATTAAAAAAAAAAAAACAGTTTGAAATGCAGTAGCATATAGTCTTCCTTTTCCTTTGCTTCTGTCAAAAATGCACCAAATAGATTTTTTAGTCTATTTCATTACATGACACTTTAAAAAAAGATCTCAAAGGCATTGTGGTGACTGTGTATAGTCATGAAATCTGCAGTGTAACACAGGGTCTTAGGCCAATGGGAGTTCAAAGTCAGATACTGAAGTTGCTAATGTGTGAAAATTTTCTTAAAAAATCGCCAAAAAAAAAAAAAAAAAAAAAAAAAAAATGCAAAACTTCAAATATAAATAATGATAATAATAAATAAATAAATAAATAAATAAATAAAAGTTATAATAAAAGAGCACTGAATGTACAGCGCAATATAATGAAACAGGCTCCAAAAATGTGTACTTGGAGTCCATATTGGATCATATTGATCTCCCTGTCGTCGAAATGAAATAAAATTAAAAATTCCAAGAAATCTTTTCCCTACTCTATATCACACGTTTCTGTTAGTCGATGTAAGCAAATGCACCATTTTCTTGGAAACCTGCTCCCCTTTCCCAAGAATGAACTGAGCCGTCTGCTGCGCATTGCGCATTGCATCGTCTGCTGGTTGGGACTCGCACAATTAACATTTGGGGGGTGGCGGGTAGATTTCTGGTGTGAGGCAAATTACTGGTAGGCCCTATTGTTCTTTCTAAAATAATGCACTGGGAAGTGTAGTTAGTATAGGTTACAGATATGACTTTTTGTGTACTGTACGGGACAGTTTTGGAAATGACTGCTTAAATGAAGATACTCAAAGGAGATTCCCATGAAGGGTGGGGGGTGGGGTGGGGGGTGGGGGGGGGGAGGGGCGGTCGTGATCACAGTTGACGGAAAATAAATCACACTAAATTAAATTTATTCGCCTCTCATTGAAAAGCACGGAACACCGACTATAATAAGTTCAGTTTACGAAAGACGAGAAATGAAAAGCCGTATTTAGGAACCACAGAAATGGGCTCCATCACGGATCACGCTGAACGTTTCACGTACAGTAGGCCTATCTTGGGAAATAAAAAGTGGCTTTCACGAATAACACACACATAAAAAAGGAAACCTTTCAAAGGAGCAGTCATTATTTTATTATTACTACTATTTTTGTAATTATAGTAAAGCGTTCCACAACAGATATTTTATCGGTGGTGTCAGGATTCTATGCTGCGGCGAGCTTTGCAATTTTGAGCAGTGAAATTTTTAATATAACATGAAAGTCAGAGTCAAGATTCTTGATTTTGTCGCCTTTCCTTTGTTTACTTTTTAACGATAAGGGAATGGAAATATAACCGTGTCATTTTTATTTTCTTTTTTTCTGTGCGGATTTCTCTCTACATGAAATCACCGACAAGATCTAAGCACAGGTTCAGTGTCACTTCCTTTCACTTTTCGAGAATTTAAAATCCTCCCAATTAGGGGAGACCGGGGCTAGTAGGACCCCGGGGTAAGTTTGCCCCCCGTCATTTCCTGAAAAAGTAACTACAAGGTAAAAAAAATTGGCCACTTACTCTTGTAAAGTGACCGTAGCCTACAATGCTAAGGAAGTGACGGCCGTTAAAAAGTTTTAATTAAGCGGTGAGTCCAAATAAACTATTTTTGCACCTAAAAGTAATTTTGTTTAAGAGATTTAAAAATCTATTTTCATAGGCTTTTGATCGAATATAAGATATGTATAGGGCATCAAACTGAAGCTCATTGTTTCAAGTTTCACAGAGATGTATCATCGTTGCTCGTTCTAGCACCATAAATGGTTGCCATCCCTTAAAATAAATAACGTGCACCCGGGGCTAGTTGGCCCCCTAGGCCTTGACTCGGGGAAAGTTGGACCCTCATATTACCCACAATCCTTTGCGCGCAACGCTGTTTGAAATAAACAAGAAGTTGTAACGTCTTGAAATAAACAAGTTGGTGAAATTGACAAAGCTTGCCTGTGTTTACCGTCTGATTGATTTTTTTAAAATTTGCTCTCTGGTGTCTTTTCGAAAATTTATATTGGAAATGTTCTGTTGATTTTATGTATTAGAAAGCATATACATTGGACTTTCCTTAGAAAAACATTTATTTTGTCTTAATTCATTGTAAGGTGATTTTATTGTATTTATAGTGTTATATGTGGCCCCAAGGGGATTTTCCACCCCTCCCTAGATAGAGACCATTGTTGAAACAAACTCAATGGTTTAAAACTGAATTTGTTACTTTCTTTTAAAACGTAAATTTATTATTCGTTTTCATTCATCAAAAACCTGCTTTATAACATTATTAATTTATTCTTAATTAAAACAAAACAAATTTTATTGATAGATTTTTTGGTTCTTGCAACACATACTCCTCCCCCCCCCCACAACGTGACGTACGAAAACCTCAATAATTCTGCCTCATTTGAACTATTTATTCATCAAAGACTCTCAATAATCAATTTAATAAATCAAAAATGTATAAAAATGTATTTCAAGGCGTTTACATGGGATATATATTTCATTTTCGTATAGTTGGCCCCCTTGACGTCAACTGCGTTTTTTGTCAAATTGTGAGCCGTCTGGCATTATATTTGAAAAATAATGGCGTTGCATACGTAGCTTAGTTCATGGGGCTTACTTTGAAACCGATTTTGTGACTCTAACCCATTCCTAATTGGCTCTAAAAGGCCAAAAGTGTCTAACTGGGCCAACTAGCCCCGGTCTCCCCTACTGGGCTTGCTGTATTCATATAGATATCAAGTTCCCGGAATAAATAAAATCCTGATGACGACATACTGGGTAGGCAAAGTGATATTGATAAGTTAAAAAAAAAAAAAAAAAAAAAAAAAAAAAAACACACTCAACAACGATCTTATAAAGACTTAATGACAGTTTCAGAACGATTCGAAGTTAACTGTTGATACGCAGGTTTTCGGCTGCGTTAACTCTTTGGTGATGAAATAAGTCAAGTTTTCCGAATATATGTTTATTTTCTTTGAATAATTTACAATTTCCTTAGTGTTTACCTTGTTCTTTATGTCAATAATTTCATAAACTTCTCATCCGTCGTCTTGGCACCAGACCCTATCCTAAACTGACTTTTTCAACAAATTTCACCTATATGTAAAAATAATAAAAAGAGCCCCGTGTTCGAAAATATAAGGATATCGTGTGCATTTCATCACATATGGTCATTTTTTAATCACTGGACAACGCTTATTGCATGGATAATACATGAAATCATCATTGCTAAGCTCTTGATTACATGAGATAAATTATAGAGATCATCCCATTCACGCAGCTAACACCTTCACCTTAACATGTGTAATGTGATGCAGGATGCAGGTCTTTGATTTTGTTCAATCAGTATAAGGTATCAATGTCCAGATTTCCATTACTGTTGGGTACTAGTGCTACTTGGCATGTAGCAAAAGAGGTTTGCTAATTCAAAATGTTCATTTAAACAGTTATCTCCCCCAAAAACGACAGAACTTTTTATAAATTTATTTCAACGTTGCCGTAATGTTTTTTTTATTATATATGCTTTATGGTAACGTTATGAAAGCGTTCAGTGTTTGCTGGTCACTCCCTGACAAATTATGTTGTTTTTCGCATTCTATAATATAAAATGTGTAAAGTATTTAAAGATATGTATGGTATAAGCTATCTTACGTGGCCTTATAGACGTACGATAATAATTTCTTTTGTTCTAAGCGGTCTCTCAACATGACCGCCGCCAGAGTGTGTTTCAGCTCCCCAATAGAAAACAGTGTGTGTGTGTGTGTGTGAATGTGTGAATGTGTGCGTGTTGATGCACCCATCTGTTGATTTTGGAAGTTCTTTTATTGTTTTTGTATTTTTCTATTGTTCGTTTTGCACGCCACGACGATATATTGTACCAGAAGCCAGTCTCACATACTAGTACACCCCTTAAGCTGCATTTTCGTCCTTCTCTGCCCCATGCTGTCTAAGGCCTATTCTGACTCAGTTGCTTAAATTGATTTTACCTCAAGTTTGAATAGGGCAAAACAGACAACCTTTTAATTTCAATTATCTCTATGTCCATTCGTCTCCTGCTGCCATCTTCATCAAATGCACAGTCAGTTCAGCGTATTTGTGGGCGTTGGTATCACTCACCCTGTTGGTGCAGTAGTCTAGGTTGTAGCAGAACCGGCCTCGGAATTTGTGCAGATAGTGCACAAAAGGTGCAGGATACCTACGCGATGCGGTGGACGAGACAATTCTTGTAGCGTGGACCTCGTCGTCGTGTCTACCAGGAGGACATAACTTGTCGCAATCACCAATATTGGACGTCATGAATTCCATTGTACAATCCGGATTAGCTAGGATGCGTTTTACTCTGTCGTCACCAATGTATTTATCTATTTTATAAGACTGCGTGACGTCTCCATTTCTAAGTGCGGAGTGAACAACTTGGGTTGCATCCTTTGCAAGTTTCCAGAAGGCGGAATACGTGACAGTTGTCGGGGTCATTATGGTGACAGCAGGTACCCAATTTAAAATGCCAAAGGCAGCGTTTAATTCCGGTGGAAGAAAACGCCGCATGTTAACAGCGTGAATAGAACCTATGTTCAAAACGCTGGGTGGTTTTCCATCATTTATCATATTTGCTATGGCCATGGATGCAGCAGCAAAGAAGGCACCATGGACAGTTGTCCAATGTTCCTTACATTTCGCTAGAATTCTATCCGTTTCTGAAATTGAAAATTCAACTGCTACTGTCTTTGTGTACGTGTCATCTATTGCAACCGGTGGTGGGAATCGCTTCATATAAAGACTCTTGCTGGGAAACCACTGCGTAAGCTTTGCCTTTATTACATGAAGATAATCTCGCCAACTAAATGTCATTTCATCTTTTGGCAAGAGATCTTCCAAAGCTGGATGAAGCATCACGACATCGCCATCCTCACAGGGCACACCCAACATGGCGGCGTTTAGGATATCAATTAGTCTGCGTAACATTAATAGCTTAGAAGTTCCATCCATGATAGAGTGATGGATCCCAAACACGACTACGCTGTTGAAGAGGTCGTTATCATTTACGACGTATCCCTCCATTGTTGAGTCAGCATTTTGTTTGGGCATGCGCACTACTCTCACCCTCCAAAGCGGACCATTGGCTGTGTCAAACATCACGGGCATCATATCCTCGTGGACCTTCTCCCAGTCATCTTCCGCCGTCCCTTCAACAGCCTCGTAGTCTACACGAGGGACGTCCATATACTTGAAGTGCCTCTTCCCTTCCTGCCAAACTATGGCCAGTCGAAGGTGCGGAATGTCTCTTTGCAGTTGCCCGAGACACTGTACCCAGACATCATCTGTTATCAACCTTTTCGAGGTGATCCACGTGGTAAACGCCATTGTAGAGACTTTTGCCTCATGCATCAAAGCGCAGTTGGTTTCGTCATGTCCTAGTGGGCGAATAATATTATTTGCCATCAGTAAGGTGGTTGCTTAAACGGTTACGTTTCAGCGAGGCACACGAAAAAAGTCCAGGTAGTAGGTAGGCAGAGTTGTCTACAGGCTTAAAAGAAAACATTGATTGACTGGTAGTGAAACAGGATATGCAGGAATCATGCAAAAATCCTTGATATAATCATTCAATCCATTGAGTTACTCAATAGATCGAGTGAATGCTTTAATAACTATACGTCCTCACCATTCCCATTCCTACTGAATTTAATCATTTTTAAACATTAAAAGGACGTTTTGAAATAAATATATTGATCAGCACTCTTTAGTCTGCTGTAAACTCTTCTACTTGTATGTGATGTCAATTTTTCTGTAGTTGGTACCTACCGGTTAAGTGCTTTCAAAGATTCCACAAAATGAGACGCTTTCACTGTGAGATCAAATCAGCTTGTGTCTGAGTCGTTAAAAAAAAAACAACCCACCTACATGTACATTATATATGGCGTGGATTCTAATTACGGCATGCATAATATGTCTACGTCCTTATTAACCTGGATTCTTATGAATAAAAAGACACCATGGCGAGCGTGCAGAGCCTAGTAAACAGTGAATGCTGTAAAATAGTGATTTGCCCTAGTTACGGTTACCTGTGCCGTTCACTAACCGTGTTTGAAAAATGTCTCAGAAGCTACATGTATACAAACACTGCCTCGTAAAGATCTTTCACAAGTCATAGCTTTAAAACTATAAAAAACACTTAACTAAACGCACCTGATATATATATATATATATATATATATATATATATATATATATATATATATATATATATATATATATATATAAAACGCGTAATATGTCTACATCCTTATTAACCTATATATGGTTAACTGGGGAGCATCACATAGGCTGAGACAGAATCTTTGCAAATATCCTAATTCTTAGCCGTAAATTCCTGGCCAAATAACACTGGAGGTATCAAGTTACTGCCCGGACATACAAACAAACTGTAGCAAGACAACTTCTCAGCTATTTTAATATTATGTATTGAGATAATCATCAATAGATAATTTGGTAGGATGGCTGTTGTAATTGTCATTAACCACATAAATTAAGTAATGTATTTATTCAACTATACAAGTCAACTTCCTTCTACACAAATATGCCCATTACCTGGGGTGCGTTTAGTTCACCTTCCCTCTCTAACAATCCTCGTTCTGTCTTTACTAACACAACAGGGCGGTGTACGTATGTTAGCCGTCACAACGTGGGTAAGACCATATCACAGGCAATACACAGCTGCAGCCTAAGGCGTGTTTCCATTGGTATTAGAGACTACGAGGCTGAGACCACATCACAGACAATACACTGCAGCCTAAGGTGCGTTTCCATTGGTATTAAAAACTGCTCAGATGAAATGCCTTCGTAATGGAACACGATGTTTATTTTTTGTGTATGACAAAGATAATTTCGATTATCTATTTAGAATGGCGGTTGCGATTACGATAAAATAAATAGGGAAAATGAATATAAATAATTAAACGCAAAAAGACTTGACTTGCCTTTATTGCACTGTTGTTCATCAATTATGTGTAATTATAGTATTTTAAAATCAGTTTTATTTTGCAGCTCACTGCTGACAAATCCAATTTTCCAACGTCCGTATCGCAATCAACATTCACCATCGCGTCACATTAGGATGTTCATTTATAATATGTCAATGTTTAACATCATTGTTTTTGTCACATGCAACGACGTAAACGCCAAAACGTAGGCTTGTTTTCACAATCTTATGATTTATTGATATGTAAAATAAAGAATGCCCCTGAACTTACTTGACATTCGGAGTTTCTTCTTCTCATTAATGTCGCGGAGCACCGTAACAAAACGTGAGTTTACCAAACTGCACCATGGCGACTGGAGGTCCGAATTTGATTTTTTTACACAAAACTCTTTTTACGTCTGGTTCGTCAGAGGTGACGTGTATTTACATGTATACAGGACGGTCATGTCTTGAACACGGCCAACTAAAGAACGGTTTACGCATGCGCACGGAAAAAGTACCGAGGCAATGTACTAGTAAGTTTTTTCTATCCCATTTCTCGGCCATTTTAAAACTTGTTACATTTCATATCTTTTTTCGTTTGACTTATTTTCTTCACCCTCTGATTAACAAGTTATATACATTTGACTAATGAAAGTGTACAACTCAAGAATAAAGCAATCTAAAGTAATTTTATTCATTCAGAGGAACAGAACACGACTGAAGATACATGTGTCTAATAGGCCTATATTTCACTTAAAGTGACTGGGGCGATTTTTACAAAGATTTTCTCAAAAAAGTCCACATTCTTGAAAACGACGATTTTTAATTATATTACATTTCAAAATGTACGCAGACCTGTACGATAATACATGTAGAATGGAATACTCATGTTTCTAATAATAATGTTCAAAACACCTTATTACACATAGCAAAATTATCTTACAAACTAGAATTTATAAAGAACAAAACATATACATATTTAAGCTATAAGAAATAATTATATTATAAGTGAACATAATCAAACACAAACCGAAAAACTTTCATACTGTCAGCTTAATTACGGCCAACCGGGACGTAGTCCTTCATCAGACTGATGTGACCAGATATTCACACTCACTGACCACTAGGTGGTATAGCGGCTAGGACCATCTTATAAATATCAGGTAGAACGAGGCAGGTGGCAGGTGGCAGGTGGCGGCTGATGTTGATAGCCTCTCGTATCTTACGCGGGATGTCAGATGACTCGGATTCAAGGATATTGGTTTAATTCCAGTCAGTACTGTGTCTGGTGTCTGTTACATGTCCACCTAATAGTATGAACGTTTTTCGGCTTTTGTTTGATATTTTCATTTATGGTCAAACTACCAAGCTAACAAACATTTTTGCTCATTTACGAGATAATTATATAATGATTCAAATGTTTGGAACACAATTAATATTCAAATAAAGGAAAACAAAAGAGACGAGGAAAACTAGCCATTTTTACAACCCTGTACCCTATATATTATGGTAAAAGACGTCTACTGTTTTATGTTTCTCTCGCTTCGTACCGTAACTTTTCATGAACATTGCCACTCTCCCCTTAGCGACAACCTGGGTAAGCCAGTACCTTTGAATACCAAAGTGAAACGTACAGTTCGTCAGCGCTTTTCCTGCAGAACACTGTCTAGTCACCTCTTGGTGTGAGTGTGAGACCAAGAGGTTC